ATAATGATAATGATAATAATGATAATAACAATAACAACAATAATAATAATGATAATAATAATAATAACAATATAATAGTAATAATAATAATAACAATAACAATAATAATCATAATAATCATAATAATAATAATTATAAATAATAAGTAATGTTAATGATAATAATAATGATAAGAATGGTAACATTCGAAGTCAAGGTAGGCCTTTATTTTGCTGGAGACACTGGAGACCACATATGTATATTGCAGCACTAAGATACGGCTGAGAAGGGATAAAGGACAGTATATAAGGAATCTTACTGAGGAGGTTGAGGGCCTTCATCCTGCCTGCCAAGCCTTGAGAAAACTGGATTCAAAACCCCCCTAAGATGCCTGCGGTTCAGTCAGTGGATGGAGGGTCATTCAGATCATGTTGGGGGCGTCAGTTTGGGCTGAGAATTTTGAACAGCTGTATCAAATAAATCGTGTGTTTGTGTGAATGTGTGTCGTGTGAATGTGCAATGAGCGTGTGTGAGTGTGTGTGTGTGTGTGTGTGTGTGTGTGTGTGTGTGTGTGTGTGTGTGTGTGTGTGTGTGTGTGTGTGTGTGTGTGTGTGTGTGTGTGTGTGTGTGTGTGTGTGTGTGTGTGTGTGTGTGTGTGTGTGTGTGTGTGTGTATGTGTCTAAATTAACGTGTGAAGTTAGGCAGTTTAGTCGGTTAATTATGTCACGGTAGCATTTTTTTTCTTGAATAGTGAGAGAATAGGAGGCGAAGAGAGAGAAGACGAGAAGAGAAATAAGAAAAAGAAAGAAAGAAAGGAGATAAAAGGCAACGAAGAAAAACAGAAGATCAGGGTAGAAGAAAAGGAGAGAGAGAGAGAGAGAAAAAAAAAATCCCCAGCATCAAAATAAGACAGGTGTGCCTTCTATCTTCCAAAGATCAGCGCAGGTTCTTTGTGCATATTGCAAAATACGCCAGTACTGATCAGAAGCGACCACCGACCACGGACACGATAGACAATAGACATGACGCATGAGAGTAAGGTATTTCCGCCAAATATATTTAATTTTTGTTTGTGGGACGGGAGAAACGATACCATACACAATGAATCATAGACAAATTGATTTGTATTTACTGTTTTGCTATTTCTTTCGCGGAGATCACAATATCGACAGGAAATTGGAAAAAAAAGAAATCGTGGTTTTCATTTTTTTTTCATTTTCCTGGAAATAAATATCGGCGGGTCCGCTATTCAAGGAAAAAATTGCTGTGGCCTTAGTTTGGACGCGGGCGACATCCAAACTACACACACACACACACACACACACACACACGCGCGCGCGCGCGCGCTCCCCTGATATCTCCACAGAAAGCCGTCAGCAGGAAGAGCAGCCTCATATCAAAGTACTTGACAAGATGTGGCAGATCTGGGTCTTTGAAGGTCTTCAGGCGACACATGAGGCCCGGGATGCAGCTGTTGACGCAGCACATGCGCTGGATGGCCGAGCTGTTGTATAGCAGGTTGCTCAGACATTTCTGGGCCTCTGTCACCACTGGGGAACAGACATATTGTTTTATCTTTTGTTTACTTTATTGATTACACACACATACAAACATACACACATACACACACACACACACACACACACACACACACACACACACACACACACACACACACACACACACACACACACACACACACTCACACACACACGCCTTGGTGCTGCCGTTTTGCTAAATGGAAGTGAAAACTGGACGCCATTAAATACCTTTGAAGTCACGTCTTGATTTTTTGTACTGTCTCTACGTCGAACAGGGGGTACAGTTGGCAGAACCATTTGTCCAACCGACAGCGACACCGTGAGACCGGTATAGGACCTACTATGTAATGGGCATAACAAAAGTAATGATAATGATGAAAATAACGATGGGAATAACATGAAAATGGCAACAAATACCAATGCACATACGGATGGTAATATTAACACTAATAATCATAACATCACATAAAGATCTCATTAGCCTACCACACACACATGTGCGTATGCGCGCGTGCGTGTGCGGTTGGTGTGTATGTATGTGTGGTGTACATGTACATGTTTGTATGTGTGTGTGTGTGTATGTGTGTGTATGTGTGCATGTGTCGTGTGTCTAAATTCTCAAGTCTGAAGTTAAGCAGTTTAGTAAGTTAAATATGCCACAGTAGTATATATGGAAAAAAGGTACATAAACGCTAAGCTGTACCCTGGAAAGCTTTTAAGTTTACGATATAATTTAAATCTAGATACTGAACACTTGAGTTTGATCACGTTTCGCTTATTTTAGGAAATAGATTAGGTGACAATTTCATCCAAACCTTAAAAATAGTTACCCCTAAATACCGTTTTTTGTGATGAATATCGGTTAATTTCACCATATTTCAGATTATCATTTCGAATTTATATTCACAATACATGAATGCTAGATGTTCTTCCATTACATCTTCAAAATTAAGTGCAACAATTCCGGGTTATTAGAGTAT